ATATCCAATTTGCTAAGTCTGGAACCAAATGCCGAAGTTTGGGGCTACTGGTTGAATCAGACAAAAGAGCAATGGCAGTATGAGTTAATATTTTCAAATAAGAAAATGTCAATCAATGCCATTAACATCATTAGCGTCCAAGAAAATGGTTCATCTGAACCAATTCTTCTCAGACGAAAGATCGTTCTAAAGAGAAGGAGTCAAGTTGTTGTGTGCCAATCATTCCATGATAGAGTCATTGCGTGTTTGGAAAATTATGGATATGTGTGAATAAGTTTTAATAGTCATTGTTGCATTGAAACTATATCTGACTGCGTTCATTCACTCTATTAAAGGCTTATTACGTTACATTTGCATTTGTGTTTGTAATGATTCGTCAACGCACCTTGACCTTGTCATCATCAGTCATCTGGACACATGCATAATGACATGCATTTAATTAAAAGTTCACCTGCAATAGAGCGTATTTTTGAAATGTGAAGTCATCAAATTATTTTGCCTTATCTATTTGAAAGCTGTTACCTCAAAAAGTTTCCGACAAAAATTCTATCACATTGCCCGCTATTTCTTTCGGCTGCTAGAATGTATTAATTTATGTGCAAACCGGACCAAACCAACAACTGCAGTCTAATGGAATCCTGGTAGTCGCATTTTCCGTTACCAACTATGAAAGGTGTACATGCATGGTTTGAAAAGGCCCCTTTAGTTTCAAATTAGAACAGATCTCATGTTACACTACGATGTTTATATCCATCTAAAATAGGTTCTTACCCAGGAACTGCCCGCCTGTATTCTAAAAGCTCACTAACACTCAAACTCATTGAGTGGGAGATCTTAATCTTCTCATAACGTTTCAATGGCGGTATTTCCAGCCGAACAGGGGCTTGATTTTCAGTGATTTACCTTATATCTTTCCATCTGTTCAGAAAAAAACTTTCTCATTGATCAGCATTAACGAAATTTATATGTCACACTCGATGAGTATGAGTGTGAGTGAGCTTTTTGAATACAGGCGTAAGTCTCTTCTAGTTCACGTCCAATCATCATGAATTTCTCAATAACTCACAGTTCTTTGCTTTAGTTCTCTATTTGTGCAAAACCATCTCATAATGATGTTCAATTACTGTAGAGAGTTAAAATTTCAGATCAATTGAGAGATTGGAAGTGTACGATGAAAAAATAGGCTTAGCTTTTCTAACTTAGGTGTAATTATAAGGTGTCAGAGCAGATCATGCGTAATTGAATTCAAACTTCACGAAGGAATTACTGCTTGAAACTTTGCACAACTATTTGTATCAAAAAATTCTACACAGTTAAAATTTCAGCTCAATTGAGCGATTGGAAGTAGGCGATGAAAGAATAGGCTCAGCTTTTCTAACTTAGGGGTGTAATTAATATAGGGTGTCAGAGCAGATCATGCGTGCTTGAATTCTAACTTCACGAAGGAATTACTGCTTGAAACTTTGCACAATTATTCGTATCACAGAAGATGATACACAGTTAAAATTTCAGATCAATTGAGAGATTGGAAGTGTACGATGAAAAATAGGCTTAGCTTTTCTAACTTAGGTGTAATTATAGGGTGTCAGAGCAGATCATGCGTGATAGAATTCAAACTTCACGAAGGAATTACTGCTTGAAACTTTGCACAACTATTTGTACAAAAAATTCTACACAGTTAAAATTTCAGCTCAATTGAAGATTGGAAGTGGCGATGAAAGAATAGGCTCAGCTTTTCTAACTTAGGGGTGTAATTAATATAGGGTGTCAGAGCAGATCATGCGTGCTTGAATTCTAACTTCACGAAGGAATTACTGCTTGAAACTTTGCACAATTATTCGTATCACAGAAGATGATACACAGTTAAAATTTCAGATCAATTGAGAGATTGGAAGTGTACGATGAAAAAATAGGCTTAGCTTTTCTAACTTAAGTGTAATTATAGGGTGTCAGAGCAGATCATGCGTGATGAATTCAAACTTCACGAAGGAATTACTGCTTGAAACTTTGCACAACTATTTGTATCACAAAAATTCTGCACAGTTAAAATTTCAGCTCAATTGAGAGAATGGAAGTGCGCGATGAAAGAATAGGCTCAGCTTTTCTAACTTAGGGGTGTAATTATAGGGTGTCAGAGCAGATCATGCGTGATTGAATTCAAACTTCACGAAGGAATTACTGCTTGAAACTTTGCACAATTTTCGTATCACAAAAGATGATACACAGTTAAAATTTCAGATCAATTGAGAGATTGGAAGTGTACGATGAAAAAATAGGCTTAGCTTTTCTAACTTAAGTGTAATTATAGGGTGTCAGAGCAGATCATGCGTGATTGAATTCAAACTTCACGAAGGAATTACTGCTTGAAACTTTGCACAACTATTTGTATCACAAAAATTCTGCACAGTTAAAATTTCAGCTCAATTGAGAGAATGGAAGTGCGCGATGAAAGAATAGGCTCAGCTTTTCTAACTTAGGGGTGTAATTAATATAGGGTGTCAGAGCAGATCATGCGTGCTTGAATTATAACTTCACGAAGGAATTACTGCTTGAAACTTTGCACAACTATTTGTATCACAAAAAATTATACACAGTTAAAATTTCAGATCAATTGAGAGAATGGAAGTGCGCGATGAAAAAAATAGGCTTAGCTTTTCTAACTTAGGTGCAATTATAGGGTGTCAGAGCAGATCATGCGTGATTGAACTCAAACTTCACGAAGTAATTACTGTTTGAAACTTTGCACATCTATTCTTATCACCAAAAATGATACACAGTTGAATCAACATAATAATTACTTCAAATTTCTTAATTAATTTAACTTGTAGGTACCCCACGTAAGTATTTAACACTGCATTAAACTTGCTGTATTTTAAAAATACTTAGGTGGTGCACTTACACAAGCTAATTTAATTATTGATGTCACCAAGCAAACATACAAGAATATTATTCAAATTTCTTATTTAAAAAACAACAGAGCTATATTCACCAACAAGAGACTATCACTTCAAACACAGTGAATTTTGAGCAATGAGGATGCAGGAAAAATCAATAGTCACCTGGAAATTTATACTAAAGCGTAATATGCGAGGTACAAATTATTTCAATTGTTTTAATAATTTAATTTAATATTTGTTGTATATAATTTTTTAATTTTTCTTTTAATAAATTAAAACATGCATGTTTCCACACATTAGACGGAGACTATGCTTGTGCACCAAAAATAAATCAGATTGTATAGACAAGATATAATTAAAAAACCTATTATGTACATCAAACATCATGCAAAATGATACAGAGAGCTTTGCATTTATTTAGAAATCCATTTCAGATTCATCTTCAACCTCGTCATCTGAACTGTCTAAAATTGACAATATCTCATCGTCCTGTTCTTCACTCTGTTCCTTTTGGTCATCTAGTTGATCCAAGTTCTCGAAAACGTGTTTGGTAGAGGGCATGGTGCTTTCATGACTCCATTCGATTTTTGGAATGGACGATGATACATTATCTGGTAGGTGATTGCCAAACGTTGCACCAAGAACAATTAGTTTTTTTCCTCTTCCAGAATCTTTCTTTGAAGTATGCACCGAATTCCTCGAATGAGTACGGTTGATGACGAGTCATTGTTGTCCTTCAGCCATTCTAAAAAACTTGACTTTTGGGTTTGGTGATACGTAACAAGCCTACACATTTCAGTTTTCAAATAACTTGTTTCCTCCTTGCATCTTTCGATGAAATTATGCAAATCTATTGCGCTTTTCTTCACAGAATATGGAACTTGATCCTCACTCAAAGTGCTTTCTCTGAAATCCTTATATAGGTCGGATTCTGGATCTTTTACCTTGTCAAACTCTAGCTCTTCTGGCAACCCAGTTACATTGTCTTTCCAAGCAGCAAGGCTAGCGTTGTACTTTTCAACAACTACTTTAGCAGAATTCGTCCTTTGTGTTATCTGCTTAGAAACTTTCTCTGCAATTGCTTGGCCGTCTATTAATCGAAAAAAAACACAAACGAATGAGTCATGTCAAACTTAGAGTGGGAATTCCCATTTTAAATTAAAGCTCATCATTACAAATGAAAGTAATGTCGATTCATAGGATACGGCACACCGTGAATAAACATGTTGAAAACTTAAAACAGTTTTACCATTGCAGTATTAGCATACGAACTTTAACTTCCATTATAACATATGACTACTAAAGGGGTCGTACGCGTCTACGCGACGCAAGCCTTTTTAATGTTTACATTATTTTGTTTTGCCTTCATTTTGAATAAAAGGCAGTTTATATTGAATCACTAGTCCGCTTAATTGATAATTATATGGTGCCAACCTAAACTAAACAACCAAGCATAATTCTTGGATCATCAAACGATCACAATTTGAGTTATAGCAAAAAAAAAATACCTGCATATTTTCGCTTCAAATTTAATAAGAACATACGTTCGACTGCAAGTGAGTATAATTTTTCTAATGCTTGGTTTCGCCTATCCCGAAGAACAGACAATGCTGCCACGTTGAATTTCTCCTCGCCCATTCTCCATCTTGGGTGAACCTTGTAGCTTTTTTCAATTCCCATGACAATTTTTAAAATCCTGAAGTTACATAAAGGTATATATGACTTTTAACACCAAAAACAATTCTATTCGGTCGCTAGTTCCAATACTTACGCTTTCTTCCTCTTTACAAGCTCGTTTATGGTTTCATGATTTTCAGCTTCTGTTGAAGCAATGCCTTGTCTGTAGCATACCATTATAAGTATTAGAAAATATTTTGTTAATTAAAAATAAATGAACAATCAGCCAGGAAATGCACAAAATATATCATTATCAGTCTAACCTCAGTTCCTGCAAGAAAACTAAGTTCTGTACGTATTTAGCCTCCCACGACATGGGCGATGGTTTTCTCTCTACAACATCAACAGTTTATGATAATATTACACGTCTTGTTACAAATGAACACGGTATTTCCTTACGTTATAATTGGTACATACTGCCTCTCGTTAACAACATTTCTCTTCTGCTTTCATCCAAGAGTTAATTACATCAGTACCATAGGAAACTGAAATTGAAAGACTTTTCTATTATAACGTAATTCGACCTATGACAGCACTATGATACTAACACTTACATTGAAATTTTCCGCATATACAAAAGCCTCATCCAATAACTGTTTAATACTATCAAATGTTAGATAAGATGTTCTACCTTTTAAATCTGAAAAGATCTCCTCCAACTGTACTACTGAGTTTTCCATTAGTTTCTTTGTTTTTTGCATTTTAGACAACAATGCCGGACCTGTGGGGAAAAATCAAGCATTGAATTACAAATATATAGTCGCAAAAAGATTACCAATACTGTAATGATATTGGTGGCATAAATCCACCAAGGCAGAAATATTCAACTAGCCAAACTGTAGAAGACGATGTCTTGCATGGTGAAGAAGCGCATCTGTTAATACGTCAACCCTTCGACCAGCTGTCATTTCCTTTGTCATTGATGAAAATCCTCTGAGGTAAGACCAAAGTCTTTCAATTCCTTCACCGTCAGTAAGGCCAAATCCCTCCTTTCTTCTAGGACCAAAAGCAACCTACATTTCGGGACAATTCTGAGATAAATAACAACATGCGACATACTGCATGACTGCACCTAAGAATGACAATTAAATTTTTGATAACAAAACCGACAACTTCTAAACCATATATTGACCTGGCAAGAAGATTTATGTCCATATGCATGGAAAACAGGAATTGCCAAGTCAATGCGTCCAAGAATGGTATGCTCTTCGTTTTTCTATCAAAAATAAATATATATGCAAATGGATATTGAAATTCATATATAATAAATATTCAATACATGTAAAATTGCACATGAGATTACATCTCCAAATGACAGAACTTTACTTCTTCTTAGAATTTAAACTGTAATCAGGCAGCTATGCCTATACCTTACCTTTAGGTGGGCAGACAAAGTACATGCAATGTCATACATTATTTTAACATCAGTATCCTCATCATAATGACACAGAAGCTTTTTAACCTCATACACTGAATATGCTATCCTAAAATATACAGTATGTTGCACTAAATTACTATCAACATGTACACTTGCACTTTAATTTGATGACTGTTTGCTCACCTTTCTCCATGTTTGATACTCATAAATCCCCTTGGGTATTCATGTCTGCATACTCTACCAAACACTCCCTTCTCGTCAAAAAGCTTATTTCTTCCTTTGGATCGTAACATGTTACTAACCTCACCAGATTTAAATTCATTGCAATCCTAGGAAAAACAGTGGATTCTTCTATAATAATGATAATATTCAACAAAACTACTTTTTACAGTACAATCACCAGTAACCACTTACAGTAGGGGCTTGCTTTGCCTTCTTTGAGTTGTCATCAACAAAGCTATCGACATCATCCTGATTGGCAAAAAATGTACCATTGTGTCTGGCAGGTAAAAGATTCGCACCAGCAGACTTTTTTCTCACAAGCCCAAAACATCCATCCATGCACTCAATGGCAACATTCTTGTCAGTATCAGTTTCACTCTACAAAATTATCACAATATGTTAAATACAAAAAGGAGAATGTGACATAAAAGAAAAAATACCTGTGGAGTTCTATACCTGCAAAGGACATAACGGGCAAACATTGTCAGGTTTTTGTTGCAAGACAAATTGTTTCATTGTTTTGAACAAATGTTGGTGATATCTACATAAATAAAATATTATTGTTGGTATTGTAAATATATATATATATATATATATATATATATATATATATATATACATATATATATATATATATAGAATTGAAGTTTAAAATTTATCATAAAAAGTTGCAAAAACAATAAAATAAAATATTTGACAAGAACAGTACTGTGTCATGCAGTTAACCAAAATACGCCCCTACCTAAATTCATCAAAAGAATCATCATTCAATATTTTATACAGATTCTTAACCTTAGAAAACCAAAAAAAATATATAATGTATGAATAAATTTATTTATCTATGGTATATAATTAAAGTGTACCATATATGACATAACATTGATTATTTTATAACACAAAAGAAATCTTTAATATGTTTCACATGTATATATAACTTATTTTCTAGTTTCTCACTTCATTTCATGGTTTGCTAACGAGACATTCCAATTTGTGTGATATGTAAATAAGTGTATATTTGCACGTCCACTAATTATGAAATTTTAAACTTCGCTCGGAACATGAGTATCTGCACTTGTAGACTTTATAGTTACTGTATACTAGTTAGCTGGCAACCAAACTAACATCATAATTAGTAGGCAAATATAATTTAATGTCTTATATATCAAACAAATTGAAATATCTCATTAAAGCTGGAATCAATAATATGTAATAAATTATAGTTATTTTCTTTATCTATTTAATGCCCATGGCATGACTCTAGTATTTTACTCTGGCTAACCCTATATGATTTTACTTGTCCAATGGAGATTCCAAGCATCAAAGTGTTAATAAAACAGTCAAGTTATTGTCATTTAGAGCATTTAGAGTTTATATAGTTAATCCCATGTCATTTTCACACAGATAAATATTACACAGTATATAATAATTTATACTTGGTATGCAGTATGCTATATTATTATTATATTTTAATCAAGAATTGTCTATTTAGAAAATATATAAACATAAAGTATTTGGAAAGGTTAGGTGTCAAGAATTTGTTCTGAATGATGTTGAAATAGCATGGAATTACTCAGCTTCAAATGTACAACAAAATAACATACCCAAACAGGAAGCATATTGGACTTATTGAGGCCCAACACATCACAAAATTTCTTTAACGATACATGGCATTCCAATAGAAGTGTCTCAGCAAGTGTAACCAACTTAAAATGAAATGCAACCTGAGGTCTAACAGCTGATCCTGGCCATAATTGGAACTTTACAAGTGTAACTGCAGCATCTTCACAGTTACAAAAGTTGATCCATTTCAAGTGTTGATGCCCTAATAAAAATGCACCAAAGGAGAAACTTACAGAACTTTTCTCACAATTATTTTAGGACTGAAAACAAACTTGAATACAGTTATCAAATCCACAGTACCAATAAACCCACCTTTTTCATCAATACAAATAATGTTTTGTGCTTGTGCAGTTGGACAATTTCTTTGGTGATCAAGAGTCAAAACACCATGATTAACAAATAAAGGAACAAAACAACCATCCTGAGAAAATAAGCAACATGGATAGTTTTCGCGCAGTTGATGCAAAACAACTGTCTAGGACCACAATCCACGCAGCGACAAACAGCGAAGTTGTTATGGCACTCGATGCACATTATACTTTAGTCACAAAAAGCTTCTTCCTCAATGCGTGCTTGCAAAAGAGACCCCCTCACATCTTCCCAACTGTGATACTCTTTCACCCGGCGCAAGTGATATCGTGAAAGACTAGAAAAAGCTTGGTCATCACTTTCATGGCTGCTATTTATATCGTCGATATTTGAACCATCAACATGTTCTTCTTCCATTCCCGTTGTGAAAGACTTCTGCTTACTCGAACTTGACTCCTGAGAAATCTTGCAATAGTTCTTTGAATTTAAACGCACATGTCTTGTAGTTTTTTTTCCCTTTGTTGACTGCGTATTAACGCGAATTTTGCATGCCTTAAAACGCTTGCAAGAATCCGCCATTTTGGCGAACTTCTATTTAGAATTTATAATACACAATAATAACAAATAGCTCGTTCCCAGTACAGCAAACAGCGAACGTGTTAGATGGCTCAGATGATCATCCCATGTCACATATATCCGATGTTCTAAAACTTAGAATTCTCAATATATGTGATTTAGAACACGCGGAACGGGTGGATTTGGCATTCTTTATCAAATTGAATCTAAAATTTTGGTTCGTTTTATGTAGCTGTAGGAACAAACACATGCAGCATCTCTTTTCGTCCGCCTCGCAGATTTAGTTTATCCTAAGCTCGTCTTGCTGGTAATGTGCCAAAATTATTTCTACAACACTCTTCAACTTTAATCTTTATGGCGAATAAACTTTTTGGATTATTACAGATAGACTTAAAAAATCTAATCAGAGAAACACATGCAACCAACGCGCGGAGCTGTCAGTAATATATTTGATGCTATAAATGACCCAGTTATCTTTGATAGTCATGAAAAATTTAAATCTTTGCCTTGAAACAGAGAAAACTGGTCCATTAATTACTTTTCTTCTTCTCCCATGTTTTTTATCAAATGTAAAATGTCCCGATATACCGTCATACTATTTTCGGTGATTTCAACAAAATGCCTAATACAACATGTGACTTCCCACAAGTGCTTGACCCAGAGAAGATTTGTGATTCGGTTTTTCTTTTTATACCATAATTAGATCGGTGAAAATTGATAGTAGTGAGTTGTAAAATTAACGAATCTCAAAAGAGAATTATAATAATTAAAATGCAATATAAAAATTGTAAACACTTCCGGCGTTATTATTGCAATCACGACTGATTTTCACATTCAGTGTTTTATGAACAGTCTTTTCCCTCTTCTCTGCAAGCATGGCGGATTGTCCAAAAATATTGATTTTCAAAGCTTAATCACTTCCATGTAGGAATAAAAATCAAACAGGCATGTACAGAACGATTAAATATATAGAACTAATTACTCGCCCTGAAGTTTGAACATCCCAGTTTTCCCTACCTATACACGCACTACGAAATTGTGTGAAAAATAAACCCATAATTTAAATATATCAATAAAAGCGTCTTCTTGACGCATGAGTGCTTCCACAGGCGACTTGTAATTTTTACAGTGTGTCAAACGTGATAGATCAAAAATGGTTGCCAATGAAGAATGAGGTAATTACCTAATGGCCACCTAAAATAAATTTTGATGGCATAAACTTTGCTGTAAATCGATCCCATTTCAGTATAGTATTTAATCTAGGTTTGGTTAAAGCACAATTGTTTCTTAAAATAAAGTTACATACCTCTATAATTAGAATTTTAACTTCAATTCCGTTAGCACGTTTCGTGGGTTTTTAGCAAATAACAATCTAAATTTGAACTCGTGACTAACAACAAAATTTGAAAAGCGCCGAAATGGTGGGCGACGGTTCCTAATTGTTTTGATTGACTTGCCAATCAAAATTGCAACATTGCGTCACAATATTGCAGTGTTGTTAATTCGTAAGAGAACATCTGGGTTGACTATAAGGTTCCGCATAATTTAACGCCCCATAACATGATTATTTACTTTTGCGTTACTGGGGAAAGACATGTGAATTTACTGAAATGCATTACGAAAACAAAGAGCTTTATTCAAAAACGACAATATTTTCACATTTTTGTCTTACCATTACCAGGTTCCCGGATAATGCAATATAATGCAATATAATGGTTAGCAAGTAGCTAACGCGTTGCTGAAATGACATTAGAGAATTCCTCACGAAAAACTTGCCGCACACAAGAGTAACTTGCTGAGCTAACATGCAGCATAGCTAATAGCCACATGAGGTCTTTAGCTCAGCTAATAGACACGCGTGATTTTTAGCTCAGCTATATTAGAGAGTTTACGAGTCACGACGCGGCTAAGAAGAAGACGCCTTAGAAAGGCTTGGTAACAAACGCGGACCAAGCCGCCTCGTCCTATTTTGTTCCTTACATTACGAAACACAACGCGCCGGGTAAAGGCTAGTTTCCACTCAGGAAAATTCTCCTTTGGAGTAGGAGAGGACAGAAAAGTTTCCTTTGTGTAAACGCCGCCTAAAAACTCACCGACAAAAGAATTATTTTCCTGTCCGTTCCGATCCAAAGAACATTTTTCCTGAGTGGAAACTAGCCTTAAAACATCAATAATACAAGTATCCCGCCCCCGAAATGAAGCGGTATATATGCGGCCCTAGCAGGTATTAAGTGACAATCAGTGATGTGTCCGCCATACTGCGGTCAGCTCATCGAAATGCTGATAACGTATGATGATGGTCAGGGACAGCTGAGTGGTAAAAAGATAGAAGGGATAATGCCAGCACGAAGGGTGGTCCGTAGAAAATTCGCAACGACGCGCTTTTGATTAGCCTGCTCGCAGATTGAATTAAAGTGGATGTTTATGATTGTTATTGCAATTTGTGTGTGCGTGCTCAAACAATCCACCCTAACTTTCCCAATCATGAAGATAGCTGTACATTGGCAATCCCATGAAATTTGGAGAAGATCAAACCCACAGTTTACAGTTTTTGAAGTTTGTTCGAAAAATTTCACAATTCTAGTGCAACGGTTCTAATCTGTTAATAGCAAATATGACAAAACTCTCTTATAAAGAGTTGTAGTGAATAGTGGATTAACTAAGTCCTATATTTATCTCTCCTGACGAAGGCCCTTACGTCGAAACGTCGAGAAGTGTTTTGTCTATTTTAGGCAGTTGTTATACCACATTTGATGCACAAGTCCTATTTAGTTGAAACTTGAAAATTTTCACTTCTCATCATCACTTTTCGCCTGACGATGCCTATATTTTAGTTGAAACGTACAAAATTAAAAATCAAAATTTTTACTTTTTACGGAATTTTTACGGTTCTATAGTTATATATTTAATAAGAAGTTAATTTGAATCAATCTTCAGTGTACGAAATCAAAGATCAAAAATGGCAATGGCGACGAAACGATATGAAAACTTCTGTGTAAAATTTTTCATCACTTGCGTGACATTAAGCCGTCTTTATTGCTACAGACGTGATACTTTCAAGATGAAATATCAAATAACAAGGGGAGTTCCCTGTGCGATAATTGGTTTCATTTTGAAATTATATGACAAAACTGTGAAGACCGGGTCTTCCGATTTCTAACTTCTCTGTAATCATTCAAAATTTTATCTTGAGACCATTGTAAGGAACACTTTGGTTAATACAACAATTCCATCCTGGTTGAACATGAAATAAAATCGAGGTTAGTATTTGATATGTATTGTGTTGATTGTTTTGGTCACGAGTCACATTCCAATCAGTGCTTGCTCGCACAACATCTGGCCGCTCTGTACCCGTTTAAGCCGTGCTTTGCTAACAAATTAAGTGTAGTGGAAACAGAAACTAAGAGTTAAAATTGTGTTTAGCAACAGAGTATGAATGAATCGATACTTAACATCCATGAAAGTGCTTCATTACCATGCATGATATTGGCCTCTTATTTAAGACATGATATCAAATAGCTTGGAATTCGAAATCATTAGGCTGTAAATAAAGACAAACTCTTCCATTAAAAACTGTGTCTTTTGAGGAAACACTTTCGTAACGTTAATGCACAATAATATCCTGGTTGTACAAAACGAGGTTGTATTTGAATTTGAAATTTTGAATTGTGTTTGTTTTGATCACGAGTCTAAATTGACTCATTTGCTGATCGTATATACACTGATATGTTTGTGGCTGCTGCGATCAGCGAAGAAGGTTTTGTAGTTTATCTTTCTCCTGTGTCCGTGTATATATATTTCATAATATTGTTGATTTGTCAAAATTTACTCTTACGAATCATTCGCTCAGCGATAATTTTCCAGCCTGCGGTGCAGACGCTTCGATATAGAGAGGAGCGCAAGCATAAGCATCTGCGCATTGGAGCGCCGATCCTTGTTCAATCACGTTGGTATTCCCAAAAAAATGGGATTCGTATATGATCGGTTGTGATTCGCTGTTAATTTATGAACAAATTGTAATTATTACTCGCGCTCTAGGGGAATGCGCGAGTCTAGGTTTCGTGTAAGTCGCGTTTTGGACCTCGATGACCCGGTGATGCATTGCGCACTTGTATCGAAATCTCGCAATATGGGCACTGCTGCGAGGAGTGACGATACCTGACAATACAAGCCACATTTTACAAACAACATACGAAGGATGCAAAATATATATGCACAGAACATATTACTACGGTGCAACGTTTACATATTGTTTGGTGCGATGTTTACTTCCGGCTATATGAAAGCAAGATTGGCATGGTAGAAAACACGGATACCGGATAGGCGGATACCGGATAGTCGGATACCGGATAAACAGATAAACGGACAGTCGGATACCGGATAAACGGATAGACGGATAACGGATAGACGGATAAACGGATAATATATTCATATGATCAAATTTTCTAAATTGACAATGATTAAAAAAATGTAAAATGGCTTATCAATGTTTCGTATTCAATTATAAAAAGACAAGTATCGGAATGTGGTTCTCACAAATTGAAATATTAGTCAAGTTAACTTTAGTCATACTCATGCCCCCAGCTTAATACATGAAACATATGAACAAGTTTAAATTAAACAAACATACATCTACAATTCACGCGTAGAGTCGAACTAACTCGATATGAAATAACAAGTTAACAACTCATATCTAGCTGTTTCGTAAAAAAGAAGCATGATTCACTTTTGGTCATATTTGTAATACAGTAGTCCCTCGCTAACTCGAACTCCCAAGGGGAAAGAAAAATTGCTCGAGTTACCGGGAGTTCGAGTTAACCGGAGTTAGTGTCAGATTACGTTTATTATAAATAGTTTCCAGTTGTCAAAATGCTATCTTCACACATTTAAAAGTTTGCTGATCTATGATTCGAAAACAAAGTTCGAATTAACCGGATATATTTGACCAAGGGAAAACAAAATTTGTTCGAATTAGCGAGGAGTTCGAGTTAAGCGAGTTCGAGTTAAGCGGAGTAAATTACTATAAATTTAACACTGTCAAATTCAAGGGGGATTGGATTTAGTTCGAGTTAGCTAGGAGTTCGAGTTAAGCGAGTTCGAGTTAGCGTGGGACTACTGTATTTAACAAATAATAGCTTGTCCCCTTTTTGCGCAACGATCCACAACAATGTGAAAAATGTTATAGCTCTGCATTACTTGAGCCAGCGAAACAGCAATTTTCTTTCTCACGACTATTAGCTTGAAATCCTCAAGGCTGTTGTTTTCAAGCGTGACACCTTGAAAAACAAGCTATTGTTTGTTTGTATACTATCACACTTACTTCAAACTTGTCACGATTTGCATAACATGTAATTAGAAACCGCGTATTACATGCATTTATACGCATGCATGTAATCGTTGTCAAAAGCTATTCGGCAAGGCCATGAGTTGGTCAAGGACTTCTAATACTAAATCAAACAATCTAAACCGAATTTAAGAGTTTGCGCCAATGTCATTTAAACTTCCGAGCTTGAGAAAGCGGCGAAAGGAAAAGCTGCTCCTGATTTGCCTTCTTTTGACTACGAAAGTCTTGCGGAAAAGGAGCAGATTGGCTATGGGGCTTTCGGCATTGTTGTTAAAGCCAAATATGATGGTGAGATTGTTGTCGCCAAGAAATTGCTGGGAGAGTCGGAGGATGAGGAAAAGTGTTTTGTGAAAGAGGCAAGATTGTTGCATTCGTTAAAGCACGACAACGTGGTTTGTTTCAAAGCTTTTTCAACGTCTCCACTTGCGATCATGATGGAATACTTATATTTTGATTTTTCGCTTTTCGAAATATCAAAGACGGTTAGCAATTTAGTGGAGTTCCTAAACTATCTTGACAAAATTGATGGTTTAGGCTGTTTCAGCAATAACTTGATTCCAAAGATGGGTTACGAGATTTCTAAAGGTTTGGAGCACCTACACTCTAAAGGGATTGCGCATCGGGATCTCAAAGCTAAGAATATATTGGTTACCAATAAACATTATTCCAATATACCGGATGAGAAAACGAGATTTGAAGCTTTTTCAGCAAGACCTGTGATCTGTAAATTGGCAGACTTTGGAGAAAGCAGATCACATGTTATCCAGACGGCAGCGCTCCACTCCTCTACCGCAAATGTTGATAGGTAAGGCTATATATATATAGTCTCATGACTTTAACAACTATAACAATCCTATCTATGTATATAGCGGTTTAAATTATGGTTTATAAGTCGAATTCCATTGATTTTTTATAATAAACGTTGCAAATAAAATGCTATGATAATATTTTGGTCGTTAATTCGATTATGTTTTATGCAAACAATGTGTGGGTTGAAGTTTTTTCCAACAGTTCCTCGATTCGCTTTTAATATACCTTTTATATATTATATAGAGGGACGTCGGTTTATATGGCACCAGAAATATTGGTAAAATCATGCCGCCTAAAATCTGCCAACTTCGAAAATTTAAAGAAAGTTGATGTATGGGCATTTGGAATGGTTATGTTCAATTTGGTTAACCCAAATTTGAAATTCCCATTCCAGTTGGATCTTGCGAGGGACGTTTCTATTTTGGAGCAACTCCCAAATATTCTACAAAAGCGAAAGTCTCCATCTGAATCACCAAAATACAAACAGCAGCAAGAATCAGTATGGGCTCCAGTTATTGCAATAAAAAAAAGATGTACGTTATTCCATCCGGATTCCCGACCAACAGCAACAGAAATTACCAATGAATTTAGGAAACTTATCACCGAGAATGAAAACGATGCGAATTCTGAAAGACCTAACATGGAGGAAAGGTTCGTTGTACTTTTTTCTATGTATATAAGCTATAGCGATAATTAATTAGTTTTTTTTATAGAACTTCCGCATGACTATAATTTCCACGATACGTATATGAAAAGTTAATAAAAAGAATTTTGTCTTTTGTTGGTATACATCGAACAAACTGACTTCAGTCTTTTGTGTAAAGTTTACATGTGTATAGGAATCTTAGGAGTAATTTAATTTTATATTATCTCATGATTCAATCGTTTAGATCTCTGGGTATATCATCGGAAAAAACGCACGCACAAAACAACGCAGTTGATCAGCCGCCAACAGCCATTCCCACGAACCCGCGAGATGATAATTCCGAAATTGTACCTTCTCGTCAAAATCAACTAGAAGATTTCATAATAGACCTAACAAATACGTCAGATTCAGAAGATGGACGCGATTTCACGCGTGGTCTAGGGTATGTGTAATCCTTTCTAGTGATAGTACACACGTCATGTACGGCTTGAATTATTTTGAATTTCCCTTTTAACGTCTCAAATGTTTAAATATCTTAGCCCTCAGAGGAGATCCACAGAAAAGTCGCGTAAAAGGGAAGGCAGCGTCGCCGGTCAGTTGCCACCTAGAAGAATTCAAGCAAACCCACATGAAGAATTAGAAGATGATTCTAATGTTGTCCCTTCCATGGTTCTTTCTCGATCACGTCGATCGTGAGTAAAAACATTAGTTTTTTCTGTTGCATATCACAATGTGATATTTTACGTGAAAAATGCTTCTAGAAATGCTTCAAATTCTTCTATTTGCTTACACATTGATGTAAATTTTGATTTGTCTGCAAGTAATCTTGCATTGGTCTTTAAGTTTTAGCCTAAATATTTATAATAGAATTCCTTATCTCCCTTTTCTAGGAAAAAGCGTTGTAGAGTCAGCGATTCTTCCGATTCCGAGAATGAATTAACCGACAATAGTGTTGAAATAATTTCATATTGCAACGGTGATCTTTTGATGCCAATATTCTCGAAAAGCCGAGTGGTGTTATCTCCCATAGAAATAATTTCAACTCTCTACAACGTTGAAAATGACACCTTGAGTAAGTCGAAAATCTGTAACCGACAGCCAATTGAAGTGGATCGCCATTGTTCATTTCTCGTTGATTTGCATTCGCTCAAAGCATACGATGATATTAAATGCGACGACGTAGGGAGCTGGAAAGATCTTAGCTGCAACAAATTTCCATTCGTCCAACGGAATGGAAAGTACGTGTTGGAGAAAAAAGCGTTGAAAGATCCACAACTAAAAAATGTCAGCATTCTAAAACGGACATATTTTATGTTACAAGAAGATGGCGAAGACGATTTTAGGAGACGAATTGACACGATTATTTGTAAGTAATTGACACGATTATTTGTGACGACTATTCAGATGAAAAATAGGGCTAATTATTTCTTTTATTTTTCATACTTGTAGTGCCCAATGGT